TTGAGCACTTGCACCGTGACCTGCTGTCGTTCCTCCCTAGGTATGTCACATCATTCGGCCTCGTGTGGGAGGATTAGCCGCGGGGAATACTGGAATCATTTCTCCCCACATGTCAGAACATCACAGTCCGTCTAACTCTGCTTCTTCTAGGTATATTGGCGTCCTGAATGTTGCGTTCCAAAAGTCGCCCAGACGCAAGTCGACCGCCGTAAAAGGGGATGCGGGCGTTGAGAATGGAGCTCCCCCGCACCCGGAAGGTGCCGATGAGCGCGCTGACCAGCACCAGCAAGACTCGGGCCCCAGACGGGTCATCAGCCAATCTTTCTCCACCGGACCAGTCCAGGTCCCTACCGTCACGTTTGACGACAACAGGCACATCATCCCTCGAAATCTACTACAGCCAGATCTGCCACCGGTCCCGCCAGTGTATCGCCGCTCAAGGACGGCGTCTGGTTCGGCACCGAGCACGAAGGAGGACTCCACCACCTGGGACCAGAAGCGTCCCAGTCTTGCTGATGCCCGTCTTAAAAGTTGGGGCGCCACGATAGTCAACAAGAGGCTTCGGAATGAAGTGTTCAACAATGCATTCTACGAACAGCCTGTCGATATACAGCCCCATCGGAAGCCCCATCGGCGTCCGCTGGTACCACGCCCAGCCATTCCTCATCAGCCGGCGCTCAAGTCGGTTCATTCAGACTCTGGCCTACTCAGCTTGGACCACCCCAGTGCTGGGCAGCCAGTCGACTCGGCGCTTGGCGTACCGGCGGCCATCCAGGTGCCATCTCGAGCGCGTCTGTCTGATAAACCGAGCCACCACCTACTAGATGCGCTCGACCTGAGGAACACGACTGAGGTCAAGGACGTGACGGGTACCAGTGCTCCGGAGCCCGAGACGATTGGGGAGAGTTTCCTGTCGCAGAAGAGGAAGCGCCGGTACTCGGGCAGCGGGCTGCGTAGGAAGCCGCAAGTTGGCAGCGAGTTCAGGGGTGACCTCAAATACTACGAAGAAGCCGATCAGGTCACGTTCCATGGCGACGAAAGGCATTCTCCCCCTCTCGTCAATGACAAGGATAGAACCACCGAGCCAGCGCAGCTCAGAGATGAGCCGGCTATGATACCAGGGCATGCTGCTACCATGGATGACACAGTAGCCGCTCCGCCACCAATCGACTTCAAGATACCCCGGCCCGTAAATCCCAAGGAGGCGCAGACGAAGCGGGACTCTCGCGTCGAATTTTTCCTTCTACTCGAAGACCTGACGGCAGGCATGAAGAGGCCGTGCATCATGGACCTGAAGATGGGGACGCGCCAGTACGGGGTCGACGCGACTCCCGCGAAGCAGCTGTCCCAGAAGGGGAAGTGCGCCAAGACGACGTCGCTCGAGCTCGGGGTGCGGGTCTGCGGGCTCCAGGTGTGGGACGTGGCGACGCAGTCGTACATCTTCCGGGACAAGTACGAGGGCAGGAAGATCAAGGCGGGGGCTGAGTTCCAGGAGGCGCTCACGCGGTTCCTCTACAACGGCGTCGACTACCACAGCGTGCTGCGGCAAATACCCACAATCATCCGCAAGCTGGACGAGCTGGCAAGGATCGCGAGGGGGTTGAAGGGGTACAGGTTCTACGCGGCTAGCCTGCTCATGTTCTACGACGGCGAGGACGCGGACGGGGGGGACGCCATGGTGGACGACTCGACGACGGACGCGGCGACGGACGCGGAGGATGCGTCGGTACACAGGAGGCGAAAGCGGAATAAGCGGGAGGTGGACTTTAAGATCGCGGACTTTGCGAACAGCATCACGGCGACGTCGGACGTGGCGGACAAGGCTTGTCCACCGCAGTACCCTGACGAGCCGGACAGGGGGTTCCTGAGGGGCCTAGCGTCTCTGCGGAGGTACTTCCTCAAGATACAGCGGGACGTGAGGGCGGAGATGGGGATCGAGCCGAGCAGAACGAGGTACGAGGAGGTTGAGGAGGAGGACGGGTTTGTGAGCGAGTGAGAGTGAGAGAGTAAAGAGGGGGCGATATCAGTAAAGGGTTTGTTCCTTTCCAACTTATGCTTCTTGTTCTTACTTATGTGGGATGCTTTGGCGTGGTTTCGGAAGAAAGGCGGTGTACGGAGCAAACGGGGATCCCGAGTTTGGAGTGGGCAGATGGGAAGTCAAGAGAGAATGAGAGTCATACCCCCGTTTCCTGTTTCTTATTTCCTATTTCTTATTTAGCATCGGCGGCGTTTATGGGGATACAGATAATCTACAGAGGGTTTCCTTTTTTTTTCAATTTTCTTCTTTTTTATATACCTTATCTCCTTCTACTTTCTTTCGTTGTCTCTCCTTCTCTTCCTCCTTCATTCCTATATATCCTTCTCCTCTTTATATCCCATTCTTTCTTCCCTTTTTTTTGTTGTTCCTTTGAGTAAGCCGGTAAACGCAATGGGGCAAGGGAAAAACGGAAAACGGGTTACTGGTATCAGGAGTTTCGAGAGATATAAAGGAATGAGGGAAGGAAGGAGGAGAAGGAGGGATGGAAAAAAGGGGGAACTTCCGCGGCGTATGGTCGGGACGGATAGAACAGAGGCTTATAGAGAAAAAAAACATTGTTCCTGGGTAACACTCTCGTCCTCCCCACGGTCCCCTGTGTACGACCGTCTCTGTTACATCTTTGGTCCAGGAACCCGTGAGATGTAGATGTAAATGTATACGAATGTTCCGTACATGTATTTTTAGGGGAAGGGGGGGGATCTACTACATCACCCATGTCGCGAATATCTGATATTCTTCCATTTTTGTAATGAATTCGTATTCTCGCTATACCGGAAACCCATATACGCCACACTAAACAGTCCGCCCGCACATACTTTGTTTGTAGTACCCTTATTATCATACATACCAATATTCCTCCCTGGTCAAACCCCCTAGCTCCTCGGGAACAAGACCCTCGCCACAAGGATACCAAACCAGAACACCGCGCCGATGACCAAAAAGTTCAGCACGGCGCTCAGCACCGGCCTCCTAACGCCCAGGCAGTCCATATCACCCAGTATGGCCTCGACCCTCCTCGCCATCGTCCCCCTGTCGAAGCCGCCCTTGACCCTCTCCACGCCCGCCCTGCCCATCCTCTCCCTCATTCCCTTGCTCGTCTCGTTGAGCGCCCTGTCCATGACGGCCGTCCACTGCGGGACGTCACCCGCGTCGCGGAGCCAGCCCGTCGCGCCGTCGAGGACCGTCTCCCTGGGCCCACCCGAGTTGGAGGCCAGGACGGGGACGCCGGCGAGCATGGCCTCGAGCGGGACGATGCCGAAGTGCTCGTCTGAGGGCGTGTAGACGAGGAGGGTGGCGGAGCGGAGGAGCGCAGCCTTTAGGTTCGAGGGGACGGAGAGGAGGAAGAGCACGGGGATCTCGGGGGGGGAGGCGAGGGCGGAGATGACGGTCTTGGCGGTGCGGGACTCGAGGTTTAGGGAGGCGGCGAGAGAGACTAGCTCGGCGTGGTACTCGACGTTCTCGGTGATGCGGGGGTCGTATCCTCCTGGTCACGAGGGGTTAATAAATGTGTGGTGAGGAGAGAGGACGGGGGAATGGGGGGGCGAAAACAAACCTGCTATGACAAGCCGCACGCCCTGTCGCCGCTCCTCCGGAATCGCCGCAAAGGCCCTAATGGCCAGCGCCACGTCCTTCTTCCTCTCGAAGCGGTTGATGCTCAGCACGACCTTCTCATCCCTCCACTCCACGATCTCGCCGACCTCCTGCGCGGGCTTATCTTCATCGTCGACGGCGACGCACGGGTGGACGACGCGCAGCTCGACGTGCCTCTCCAGGCTCGGCCAGGTCCGGCGCACGACGCCCTTTGTGAACTCGGAGTTGACGGCCACGGCCTGCGCGAAGCCCATGCTCCACTCCTCCAGCGCGTCGAAGGGGGCGCGGTACGCGCGCTTCAGCCAGCTGCCGCGGCCCCTGGCGAGGAGGAGGTCCGGGTAGTGGCAGTAGAAGAGGATGGGGACGCCCGGGGCGAGGTGCTGGAGGAGGGGGAGCCCCGCGCTGAGCTGGTCGACGACGAAGGAGGTGGGGGCGAGGGAGGAGAGCTCCGAGGTCAGGTGGATGTGGAGGAGGAGGTGGAGCTGGCGGGCGATGGCGCAGAGGATGGTCAGGCGGGAGAAGATGGAGGCGGGGAAGAGGTAGTTTCCTCGTACGCGGACGTCGAGGGTGCCTGTTTTTGCGACGCGCGGGGAAGGGTCATCAATTAGCTTTCCGTTTTTGTCGATCGCTCCTCGTCGTATATTTATTTGGGGGGCGGGAACGGTATAAGAGGGGACTCAGACTCACCATCGCGCGCCTCCTCGAAGCAGTGGTTCGGGTCGCAGTGGCTCGTGAAGATGACGACCTTGTGGCCGCGCTCCTGGAGGCCGACGGCCGCGTCGACGACGAGGCGCTCGGCGCCGCCTATTCCGAGGTCGGGGTGGAAGAAGACGACTGTCCTCTTGGTGGCGTCTGGTTCCGCCATGGGGATCAGGATGAGGGGCGGACGCGCGCGCCTGTTGGGCTTTCGTGGAATGCGCCGGCTGGGGGGCCCTTTTTGGGGGGGGGTTGTGGACGTTGCCGTGAAGCTGACAGGTTTCGGGTTCCCCTTCAGGTTTGTGTGCTGTGTCACTACAGTTCCGGGTGCACCGGTAAGCTCCCCTCTTTGGGTTGCAATTGCCCGTTGAACGAGGAGCTCGCTTATTGGCTGGGTAGGTATCAGGACAGGGGTTATATGGATTATGTAACGATGGAGGCTGGCGCTTTCCCTTTTGAAGGTATCACATGCATCTGGGCGTTTTCTTTATTATCCTCTGCGCCGCTGTGCCTGTTTTGGTGTATTCTTATTATTAGATGGGCTCGAGAGTCGAGGCGTGAACGTCTCACGAAGTCGAAGTCGCCTGGCAAGAAGGATCCTTCCCCCCCTCACCCAACCACCAACCACCCACACAGCCTTGCCTAGGGGGGCTCTGGCGTTCATCAACACCAGGTTGGTTTAATGGTTTAGCGGTCATGACGTGGGTTTCTGATTGAAAGATGAGAATATACCCGAAACCCCGGTTCGATTCCGGGTTAGACCTGATTATAACAACTTTTTGTCTTTTAGTCTCCTGGGACCAAACGGGCCATGGGAGTCAAACGACAGACAGATAACCATGGCGTGTCGGGAAGACTTGAAGACTCCCGCCGGGTTTGGCCGGGCTGGGCTAAGCCGAACTGAAACGATATAGATCTTCACTCTGAGAGGTGAGATTTCAAGACGGCCATAAAGAGTTACAGATCACAGTCAGCTACTGATGACGTCCACACGACTGCTAAGCCATATTCTCCTTATTTACATATATACAATACTAAGCACGTCTCCTAATCCATATCTCTTCTATTTGGGTTGAAAGTTACCTCTGTGTCATCGCTTGCCTCGGTGTTATTGGGCTTCCTTTTTTTTCTTAGGCCTTCCTTCTTCGTCCTCCTCCGGTTCGCGGACCGGGCAATCGCCATCGGCCGCCTGTACCATCCCTATCTTCCTCAAGTTCTCTTCGATCACTTTCCTTCTTTCCTCCCGCCTTATTGCTTGTTCCTTCTCATATTCGCAGTCGGGGCAGTCACCGGAGCGTTCATTCGGTTCAACACCGTCGGTTGTAGCACACGCGTATCCCCTTTTACCACAGGTCTCCATGTTTATTATGTGCTTCTCGCCACTCCCCAATGAACACCCCGCAAACCGTATACGGATACATATACAATCCCCTGGCACTAGGACCCCCATTATTGCTATCCCTGCTGGTGTGACCGTGCCTATCTGGACCAACCTGAAACTAGGGTCAGGGACGATGTGGATATGAGAACACCTTGCTGCTGGATGTAGGGGTTTGGCTATTCAAGATGGCCAGTGTCTACTTCGCGCATACGTGTACGTTCCGGAATAGAAGACTAACCTCACCTATCTCTCCGTCTGGTTGAATCCTAGAGAGCTAAGCACAGATGTGGTTGTGGGCTTTACAACTGTGTCGGGTCGTGTGTGCTGATGGTATCGCAGGTTTCTTGTGACTTATTGTGGCTTCTCGTTGTCTCTTGACTTGGCTGTAGAGAGAATTTTCGTTCAAGGAGGGGCGACTGGGTGGTTCCTGCTAAAAATTCTCTCGATACTCGTAGTTCGAGGTCCGCCCGAAGGCTTTTATACATGACTGAGGCTCAACCTCGAGGGGCCGTAGCGCCCTCTTAAACTAGGAGAGTGATTCTCTTTCAATGAGGAACAAAGTGATTTTGCCATTCATTTCCCAGCTGCGCATCCGCCCCTCCTTCACCTAAACCAGAAATCCGCATGCTCAACTGAAAGGGGAATTTGAAACGTTTGGCCTTCTTTTGGCCTTCTTTTGGCCTTCTTTGACTAACACGGGCGTAGTACTCCGCATATAGTACGGGCATGGTATAAGCCCCGGCATTGTTAAACTTGGGTGCTGATGATAAGCGCGGGGGTGGGGCAGTATGAAAGCACAGGCGCTGGGTGCCGGGTGGTGGGTACCTTGTACCCCTGCACCTCTTACCTCTTACTGACTAGCCTGCATGCGCCGTAAATAGCATGTGATAATGGGACTTCTTCCTTCCTTGTCTAAGGAGGATGAGTGACAAAACCTCGAGAGCTGGGAATAAAGGCAGGGGCTTCCAAAAAAAAAATGGAGATAGCAAAATCATAGACAGTCGGAGGTTCCAACGTCTTATCCCCAACTTATCCGCAGTTTCTATGTGTTTGTTTGGTGGTGCACGGTGATGCCGAGGGATACCTCCCGACTAGGCGAGAGAGAACCGAGACGTCACCGGCAGCCATCACAAGCGTTCGTCCCTCGGTTCAGCTCTCCCACCTTCCCCGTACTTTAACTCCCAGTCCTCCGGCCCTTCCTCTCATCTACTTGTACAATCGACTCCTTACACTCAGCGCCCGCAAAGAAACCCCCCAAACCGCAGAACCACAAAGCCTGAAACCCTCGCGACCCGAAACCGCAAAACACGAAACCAGCAACGCGCGAATCCGCCACAATGACAACCCTCTTCACCATCCCCATCGAGCCCATCGACGCCCACCCAGGCGGCACCATAACCCTCACCACCCCCTCCCCCAAAATCTACCTCCTGACCATCTCCTCCCCTCCCGACAACCGCCTCACCACCCCCTTCTGCGCCGCCCTCCTCAAAGCCCTCACCACCCTCCAACACACCCAACCGCCCGGCGTCCTCGTCACCACCTCCTCCCTCCCCAAATTCTTCTCCAACGGCCTCGACCTCTCCCACGTAACCTCCAACGCGCCCCACTTCTGGACCTCCGCCCTCTACCCCCTCTTCCGCAAGCTCCTCTCCTACCCTATGCCGACCGTCGCCCTCGTGAACGGCCACGCCTTCGCCGCGGGCCTCATGCTCGCCATGTTCCACGACTACCGCGTCATGAACCCCGCGAGGGGCTTCGCGTGCCTGAACGAGGTCGACTTCGGCGCGCTCCTCAAGGCCCCCATGAGCTCCGTCTTCAGGGAGAAGCTCCCGCCCGCGACGTACAGGAGCCTGGTGCTGGAGGGGAGGAGGTTCCCGGCCGAGCAGGCGAGGGAGGCCGGTATAGTGGACGCCGTGGGCGGGCTGCAGGAGGCGCTGGCGCTCGTGGAGGAGAGGAAGCTGCTGGGGAAGGCGGCGGGTGGGGTCTGGGGACTGCTGAAGGTCGAGATGTACAGGGAGACGTGGGGGTTCCTGAGCGACGAGGGCTTCGAGGTCGAGGAGGCGAGGGAGAAGGGGAATATGGCGCGGGAGGAGGAGGACGGGGCGACGGAGAAGAAGGCGCTGGCGAAGTTGTAGGGATTTGGCGTTGGGTATTGATTGGGGCGGAGAGCGGGGGTGGAACGGGGGGGAATTATGTCTGGCAAGCTATTACACTCTTGTTAGAAACGAGTATTGTACGATATTCATGCGGAGGGACGTACAGAGGCAAGCCAGCCAGCCCACCACGGGGTCAAACAATGGAGAACGGGGAACGGCGCAACGACAACCAGACCACAGACACCACCGCCTCTGCCCTACCACAAACATGTCACGAAAGAGACAAGCGACATCCACAACATCAGCAGCTCACAACTCACATCTCACATATGAAGCCACCAGCAATAAATGTCCTTGAATATTAATGTATTCATCTCATCCCGTTCCATTCTATCCCGCCGTATCTTCATGTCCTACAATTCTCTCCCTCCTCCTCAAGCTACACCCTAGCTTCTCTACCCACCCCCTTCCTATGTAGTTCTCCCTTCCCGTCTACTTCCTTCTTCCACACTATGCGAATCCGTTCCAGTCCAGTCCAATCCGTTCCCATCCAATCAATGTACATGCAAACTTTGTTTCCTCATTTCATTTCCCGCTCATTTCCCAAAACCCGGGGAGAATTCCATCCTACCTACTCCATTCCATCCCATCCCTTCCCTTTCCCTCCCCCCAGTTCCCAATTCGTGAAAAAAGGCCCCCCTCTATCAGAGGGCAGGCGTATATCGTATGTAGTGTATATCCATCCATGCAAGAAATCAAGGAACCCACCCCGTCGTGTCCGCTTTATGCTCTCTCCTTCATATAGCTCGCCTCTAAGCCTTCTTCGCCGTATCCGCGCTATCGACACTCGCATTCGTGTCTCGCCGCCTGGTCGTGAGTCCGCCCTTAACGGGCCCCGGCACAGCCGACCTCCGCCGGTTCGTCATCATCGTAAGCCCCTCGTCCTCGCTATCGCTCTCCGAGTCGTCGCACCCGTCCCGCGCGCCGGACTTGTGCGGCTCCGCATCGCGCGGCGCCACCGGTACCTTGATGATCCCACTGTCCGCAGACTGAGACGGCGCCAGCGTCACCTCCAGTGGGAATCCGCTGACGGGCTCCTTCTCGGCCGCTGGCGGCGTCACAGAGTCCGTCGTCTCCAGCAGGGGGGGTTTCGTGTTTACGACCCCAGGACGGCACAGAAGCTCGCCCTCGAGATCCGCAGACACAGAGCTGGCCCCACTAAGAAGCGCCGGCAGCGACGGGTCTGACTGGAAGGAGAGCATGTGGTCCATGTTCGCCGAGCTGGTCTTGCACGATGTGACCGGGCTCAACCGGTCGCCCGGCGTGGTTATGGGTGACTCGACGGTATCCATAGACGCCGACCTCGAGGATGCGGTCGTGATCGATGCCGTGTGATCCTGTGCCGGCATCGAGTATGCCTCTTGTGGTGAGCCGCCCGAGGGGGACTCGGTGTCCGCCGCTGTCTTCGGCTCAGTGAACTCGGTGGGGAACTGGATTGGCTCGGCGGTTTGAGGCTGCTCTGCTCGCATGGGCGATTCCTGCCTGTAGCCGTCGAGCGAGCGCCTGTTAGCCGTCGACGACGACCGCCGCGTCGGCGGGGGGCGAATAGTCCCTTCTATCATGCTTCGCCTCTTGTTCGCATTAGGAGAGGCCTGATGCCCGTCGACATCTGTAGACGACAGAAGCGGTGACGACAGCGGGGGACGAGCGTCTGCTTTGAGGTGCTTCGTCAAAAGTGACTCGGCATCGCGTTTTGCCGGTCCCCCTGCATGGAGGCCGTCAACTGACCGTGCCCGATAGGGGCCATCCCAATAGCGCCAGCTCGCCGTTTTCGCAGGCCGCGGCAGCTTTTCGAGCTCGGCGTCAGACGACGTGGTGTTGTCGGGGATAGTTGATAGGTAAGAAGGGTCTATGGACTTCGTGTGTGCGTGTCTGTGGGGGCGGTAAGCCGGCGGAGGAGGAGTCGCCGACAGGCGAGGAGCGGGGGGACCGGGAGATGCGACACGTCGAGGGGAGATCTCGGTGGGGAGATGGTGAGACCCGCTGGGCCCTAGCACTGTAGCCAAAGGGTCATAGGGCGGTTGGTTGTCCCGGGGGGTCACCGGCAGACTACCTGTACCAGCTGGCTTTGCCTGGGCGGTTTCGCCAACCGATGTCGTAGAGTCGAAACGTCGACCACCCTCCCTCGCCTGGGGCGTCTGGGGAGCGGTACTTAGCGCATCGGTAGAGACGCTGGTGACACTGCTGGTGGCCCTTCGACGGGCGGACCGACTGTCGCCACGTT